GTTAGCAAGTAGGTGTAAAGTGGACAAAGTCTGCAGCGCTCCGTTCAGATCTCCTGTGCTTCTGTCTCTGGTGCTGCCGTACTGATTAATTCATGTAAGATGTGGCTGGCTAAACCACTTGAGGTGGCTGTAAGCAAGACTTGCCTTTTGTGGCCATTTTGTGGAAGTTTTGTAAAAAAAAAAAAAAAAAAAAAGTAATGCACTGATTTTTCTTCCAATATCTTCTTGAGAGAACAACTATGCAAATTCTCCCCAGAGTGAATGCTTCAAACACTGCTTGTTCTCACATGCAAGCTCCTTGAAAAAGATCTGCAACACTTAGGAACTGTATGTGTCAAAACCAATTTTAACAATGTCACACTGCAGAGAGTATCTGCAGTGTGAAAACATGACAAAATTGTGCTACTACTTCTTGACTTCTTCATGAAATGTAGATTTAGTTTAGGAGGAACTGGGCGTGCACATTTTACCAGTGGAAAATTCTACTAAGAGATGTTGAATCAGATGAATTATTCTAGATTAGAATAAAGCTAATCTAGCCATAGATTTCCTCTTCTTTTTCAAATGTTTCCCTCCAACCCTGTTTTTTGTTTGTTGTGTCAAGGAACGTTATCTCTGTCCTCACAGTTTTCTGCAAGGTGCCATCTGCTGAAAATTAGTCAAGTCAACATTCAGAAAAACAAGGTTATGCCATGTGCTGACTGAGCATGCTCTTTCTCACCAACTTCCTGTCCAATGGAGCAACATAGCAGAGTTGCTTCACCCAGGGCCGGAAAACCAGTCTTCATTGCCATGGAGACAAGAAGGAAGTGGTGGTGCGAAATTTGTCTGCAAGTTTGATAACTGCAGGAGGATGAGCAAAGACAAGCAGGCGTGTGTTAAAGCATAACGTGAAAGCTACTCTCCTCAAAATAAGAACGACTAGTAGACATTATTTGCTGTTACTGTTATTTACAGATGGAACCACATCTTTTAGAGAGGAGCATTAAACAGTGTTTAGCAGCTACATTTTGAAAAATGGCTTATTATCCAAAACAAGCTCTTACTGTGAGGCAGAAGCATGGTAACCTAAATTATCATTTCAATAAAGACTCTCACTGAAGCAACCCTTTTATGTTTTTGAAGTAGAAAAATTCAAAGGAAGAAATGGGGACGTTTGTTACTAAAATCGTTAATGGTACAAAAATAGTGCAGCAGATGTGAGGCTTTTTTTTAAGTGCTGAGAATCGTGTCATTTCTTTCATCAAATAAATATTTTCATTGTAGTTTTACATCTTCTCCTGTTTATATCAAGGTTTTTGTACTTCGGGCTGTATATGTTGTTAAGCGTTGTCTTTGCTCTTGTGTAAAACTGAGCCTTGTTGATTAGGTGACATCTCCTTACTGAGTACCAAGGGTGCATCTGTTTTATAACCCCCAGTGTGACGTCAGTGCCTGTCACACGAGGGTGCTGAAACATACTCGGATATGGCATCTGCTGACTCTGACACTCAAGTGTCTTCATTTCCATATCTTTTGTTCCTTGCTGTCTATTGTTCAATTTTACTTTCTTCTTTTTAGCCACTTTCTTTTGCTCTGTTTCTTTTATCTTATGGTTGGATGCTTTATAAGTGAAGGAGGTCCTATATGTTGTTAACCTTAGTCAAATGTATTTTTATTTTATTTTATTTATTTAAAATCACAGCCGAGTGCAGTGATAAAATAAAATAATTTTATTTGTAATAATTTTGTTGCATAGCATTCAGTTCCTCGAGAATGTTGCTGTTTTTTAAGCTTTATTTTTGCCATAACATTGCCTTACAAAAAAGTTATAATTACTGCAGATAACTTTCTGAAAAAATGAGTTTTTAATGTAGTACTTATCGAAATGGCACCTTTAATACAAAGAAAATCATATCCTGAGAAGTTTTCAAAATGACAAGGAATTGGTCATTCAAGTCAATATGAACTGTGTACACTATATAAGCAAATTATGAAAAAAAAATCTCAAAATGATTTTTGCAAAAAAACAAAAAACAAGGCCAAATGTTATCATTGTTTTATCTTGCAGGTTCAGCTTTTAAGCTTTTAAAAGATGTCCTAAACAGGAAGTTAATTCAGAAGGGGGCTTAGAGGATTGGTCAAAATTCAGCTGAATGCAATGATTTGTCAGAAAAGAAGGAAAAACAGAAAACTTTAAGGTGATTGGTCATATTTGCAGAGAAGTTGCTATGACTGGTGAAAATTTCAAGCCTGCTCAAAATGTTCGAATGATGAGTTAATAGCATTAATAGTTGTGATCACTCCATGACAACTTCTGGAAGGACTGTCTTCTGTCAGCTCATCTCTTTTGTAGACTGAGAATGGTGGGAGACCTTATGTTTTCTGGTTTAGAGGGAGGTGAAAAAACTGTTTGAATTGCAAATCACAAATTTGAGCTGATCAAAGGAAAATTAGTCAACGTGAATTGTTTTATTTCCAGTGTGATGTTCTTTTTTTTTTGTTTTTTTTTGTTCTGCAGCTGATTTAACAACTTGTACTGGTTCTCACCCAGCCAATAAATTCAACATGTCACAAGCATGTAGAGCAAGTGACTCAGATCCGGTTACTCAGGATGGACTATAATGGCAGATGTGAACAATCATGCTGAAGCTTTTGTGTCAGTATGGCACTGTGCATTTTAATGCTCGGCCAGGAAAGAGGAGTTGTTGTTTTTTTCCACAGTTATGATTACATTCAGTCTAGAGTGGTGTGATCACTGAATCAAATAAAAAAATTATGCTTTTTCTTTTAACTGTCCTTGAAAAAGAGCAGAGGAGAAAAATTAGCGTGATCATAAATGACAACAAGACAACCAGTGGCGTCTCTTAAAGAACTAAAATCTGGATGTGAATGAAAGAATGGATGATTTGTTAAAACTAAATAAATCTGCAATGTAAATTTGTTAAAATGAGTTTGGCATTGAACGCATAAAACGAAATGCTCTGAAGTTTTAATGATGAACAGTGTCGAGTTCTGTAAAACTCGTAAAGGCCTGAATGTTGGAGCATTTTCAGATCACCAATATTTAAAAAAAAATGCTTGCTGAAATGTGAGGTTATTAATAGAGAGCAAATACAGCAACCTGCCAGCATTCTTGCCTGGAGGCCACCACAAAGAAACATGCACAGAGACAAGCACACACACATCATATGTTTATCAAGCTGTGCCTGCTGTCATAACAAATGTCAGGTCTACGTAATGCAGCAATGTGGAGCAGAGCCAGCTAGAAGTGGAAATACCTGAAAGGGGCCGTAAGTGTTTGAAGCCCTTTGGCTTTATTAGTGTGCCAGGATGTCAAGTGTCCCCTTGCGTTTCATTCTGTTGACTCATTATTGTAAATATGCAGTCATGGAATGTAAAGTCTAACTCAGTGTGATGGTCTGTGTCTACTTTAATAAAATCAATGTCATTTTTAAAGTTTGAATTTTTGATTGGGGAAACTATGAAAAAAAATCCTCAACAGTATTATTTAGGCGAATATTGAATAGTTGAATTTGGAAATATTTATTTAAAGAACAGGATAGGTGTGTGCTTGCAATGCGTAATGTAACAAAAGTCATTTTAACGATCACTATTTTTTAAAAATGATGTTCTCGTCGTGAATGTTTGGGTCAAAAATCAAAATCGAAATGCAACTGGAGTTAATTTCCAAGCTATAATTTAGACCAACACTTCAAAAGTAATTTCCAAAATTGCACAATTTTCAAATTTCTGAGTTGTAAAAAGTTTTGCACAGCTCCTAATGCTAATTGTAATGTCATCACATATTGAAAAATCAGCCTGCTGTTTTTTTCTTTACATCACCAGTTTGGCAATATTTCAGAGTTTGAAAACAAAAAAATTTATCAGTAGTTATTTTTATTGACTGATATGAAACGCTTATACTGTGATGTTTTTCAGCCACATCGCCCAGCCTAACGTAGTGTGACACAGGCTAAAAAAAAATTAATCTGATTTATTTTTTAGTTGTACAGCACATCATGCCTCTTACCCACTTGGCTAACTCATACTTTATTTAAATGTTAATGAGACTCTGAAGGAGTTTTTTGTTACGCTGATGTCTCCAACCTGTTTTAATCTGTCTATTTAAAACACCTCTAAACTTCAACAGTTTTGGCACCATTTGTAGACTTCTCATAATACCAAGAGCTTAGACTAGGGGATTGGTCCAGGCCTGAACTCTCTCCGCTTATCTAAGTCCTAATAATAACTTCAAGTCTTTGTGCTTTGATTAAAATATAAAAGAAAGAATATACACTGGCCCAATGATTTGAGTATTTGGCTTTAAGATTGCTCTACTATCAAGAGCACTATAACTGACCAAGGTATTTTTTGGCCGTAACCATTTATTAATTTTCCATACCTGCTTAGTGTTGTGCAGGGCTTAGGCCAGGATGATGCCTGTCTTTTTTGATCAGTGGGTCATTGATAAAGTAAGAAAGCATGTTTCTTTTGAAAATGAGTACAGCCTGACCAATACCAGGTCACTCTCAGATCGTCATCTTTCTAGAATCATCAGGATTTATGAGTACTTGGTCATGTGAATACGTTAAGATGTCAACCTTTGTACTAACTACTGATAAAATGACCATTGACCCCTAAAATGTGATGACATAGAACGCTTTTATATGTTGAAAGAGGATGCTTTTTTTTAATAGTTTTCAGAATTCCAACTCTTGGTTCTTTTTAATGTGTCACAAGCCGTGGGTTATTGGAGGTTTAACGCTCTCCTGTCAGGGATACACTAGTTCTGGCAAAAGGATTGTTTCTTTAGAATACCAAATCACTATATTTGTCCGTGTTGATCATAACAAAAAGTTTTTTTCTTGATCAAATACACATTTGAAATGATGCCTTCATGTTCAAATTTTAGTCTGTCCTCTCCATGACAACAAACCAGGAAGTCAGTCCATCACATTGTTTCGTTGCTTGTAGTATAAATATGCTGATCTGTTGAACTTCTTTGTTTCTCTGTGCAGATAAACGAGTTGAGCCATGTTCAGGTTCCTATCATGCTCATGCCAGATGACTTCAAGGCCTATTCTAAGATTAAAGTGGACAACCACCTCTTTAACAAGTAAGGTGTTTTATATGTCACAACAATGTAGTAAGATCTACTTCTCATCCCTTAAATTGTTACAAGACTAAAGAGAATCACATTTCAGACTTGCACCACCTGAAGATTGATGCTTTCTGATTTGTTTTCCTGATTTGTTTTGTTTCTGTGTTTGCAGGGAGAATATGCCGAGCCATTTCAAATTCAAGGAGTACTGCCCCCTCGTGTTCCGAAACCTCAGGGAGAGGTTCGGTATTGACGATCAGGATTTCTCGGTATAAACAGACTTCACATTTCTTCTTTTTGATCCCTATATAAATGGATCTGAATCAGTTAGAGATTGCCAGTTAATATAGATCTTCACTGAAGTGCTGTTGATGTCCTTTTTTTCTCTGTTTTTGTCAGAATCCAATCTTGCAGTTCCTTGATTTTTTTTCCCCCTCTTTCCCAGTAAGTCCCCATTTCCCAGTGCAGTCAGTGATTTGGCAGTATCTGGAGGTCATTGTGTTCCAGTGCGCTGCAGCTGTCCTCCCTTAATGTTTACTTTAGGATTCAGTTTGTTGAAGTGGATGGGGATCTCTCCAGTCTAAATAAAGAGTAGAATTTACTAAATTGCTTCCCAACAAGGTTGAAGCATAGAGCTTATGGATTTTCTTTATTATTTTTGTTTTGTTGTCATTTTTTTTAGTTCTCAGTTCATAACAATATCAAATAAATATTTTGAAGAATCCCTAAAGTGCAAATGTAATGATATTTTTTTCCTCTTGTATTGAGAAAAACCCAGCTGGTTGTATACAGTGACCTACTAAAACAACTCTTAAGAATTTATTTTAGAGGATAATTTTCTATCTTTCTGAAGAGGCAGTTCTCTAGTCGTTTCTAGTAAAGAAAAGGATTTAATGGGTGATGAATTCCTAGTGAATGAGGGATTGTGCCAGGCGATGTTGGATCATGTTACGTTGGACTCTAAAGTCTGGGCAGCAGCTGTTTGCCTCCATGTGTACAGGGGTCAGAATCTTGCAAGTTCAGACTGCTGTGTGGGAGTCGAAGGTGGATGACAGACATTATGGATTGGAAAGTTCAGTGATTTACTCCAATTTGTTTAGTTAGAATATGTCAGGATACATTTTAGATCTTTTATTTGTATACAGTTTCTTGGAGGAGTTCTTTCCACCACAAACATCAATACATTTTATTGAGATTTTATGTGAAGCAGGTGCTCAAAGTAGATGAGACTAAAATGTGACTTTTTCGCTAGTTTACAGAAAACTAGATCTATATGTCACTGTGATGTGTTTCTCCATGGTGAAACACATCTCTGGTAGAATCCACGTTGGAGGCAATTACTCCTAGTATATCTTTATATCACAGTTTATCTTTTGTGTGAGCTGTGCTACCTTTGTTCTGTTTTTGCAGAACTCTCTGACTCGCAGCGCTCCCTTGAACAGCGAGGCTCAGGGTCGCAGTGGGGCCCGCTTTCATACCTCTTACGATAAGCGCTATGTCATCAAAACCATCAGCAGCGAGGATGTGGCTGAGATGCACAACATTTTAAAGAAATATCATCAGGTGAAAAATGACTTTCTTACGATACAAAAAACTATATATAGATATATATATAAATTTTTTTGCATATTTTTAAGAGGTCTCTATAAATTCCATAACTATTGTCTTTTTTTCTTGTTTTATGACATAACTAAATAAATTGTAGTCACTTAACATTTATTTAGCATTTTTCATTTTTGATATCTTTTACTGCTTTATTTTATAAGAATTATTTCAATAAAATTGGACCGAGTACAGTTTTCCTCGGAGAGCCTTTAGACATGAGGGCCCCGTGGCCCTCATATCCATTTATCACCTCAAAGCTGATAACCAAAAAAATGCTCTTAAAGGGATCCTGCTGTGTTTTTTTCTTCGTTTTTGTTCCAGTGTACTTGTGTGCCCTGCAAAGAGCCATTGTGATCTTAAAGGACCATAAATTTGTATTCTCCTCTTTCCTTTGGTAGTTCATTGTGGAGTGCCATGGCAACACCCTACTGCCTCAGTTTCTGGGGATGTACCGTCTCACAGTGGACGGAGACGAGACCTACATGATTGTTACTCGCAATGTTTTCTCCCACCGCCTTTCTGTCTACAAAAAATATGATCTAAAGGTAAGAGGGGAAGATATACTAAAAACAAATGAAGATTTAAAAAAATTCTATTGTCTAATTAAAATATATATTGTTCATTTTCTTTCTGTAGGGTTCCACAGTGGCAAGAGAGGCCAGTGATAAGGAGAAGGTACAGTCACCTGCCGTGAGCCATAATCAGCTGTTAAACATAGATAAATGTGTTTGTACTATTTTCACAAGCCTGTTTTATCTTCATAATATGCTTCAGAAAGAATGAATTTGCTTTGCCAAAAAATGTATTACTTTCGTTTGTATTTTTGCTGTAACAAGGCTTTTTGGCAAGATATCTTTTACAGCTGGAAAACTAGTTGATTTCCCCTTAAATGTGGCCAGATCTGCCAGTTTTCTGTCTGATTGCTGTAAAGGTCACCAAAAACCGCAAAACCAAAACGAAAAAAACACACCTTAAATATTCTGCTACTGACTATTGTTTGGTTTCTATTAGGGCTGGGCGATGACTCGATTCCATCAATTAATCAAACCTTTGGTTTTAGACAGTTTCTAGAAAATGTGGATTTATTTTTCACCAATACACTCTGTGGGTTTCCATAGTTCAGAGTGATGCTAGCACACCCAAAGCCTATCGCCTGCATGACAAGCGCTTTTTTTTACAGCTTCTATTTATTTGGAATTTGAACTTGGGTTCTAAGAGGAAGCATAAGGGTCAGGCTATGAGTTCTCTTTTTTTTATAATAAACATAGTCATGTTGTTATAAAAATAAAGTCGTGGGATTACAAGAATAATCATTTGATAATAAAGTTGAAATAAGACCAGAATAAAATTATAATATTTGGAGAATGAAGCAGTAATATTATAAGAACTCAAACACAAAAAATAAACAATTAAATATTAATTATTTTCCTTGCATTAAAACATTAAAACAACCTTTTCTTATAAATTTGAAACCTTCTGGTAAAACTGCTAATATTATGTCAACGTTGCTGTAATTAAATAAAAATTCCCGTAGACTCGAAATAACACTATGCTGTACAGCTCACAGAAGGGATGATTAAAATAAGCTGCTTTCTGAAAATATTTATTTTATAATTTATAATGTTTTAGAAAAGAAAGCAAGACAAAAACATGTAAATTTTATATGTAAACCATATCATCCAGCCTTAGTGTCCATTTTTAAAGAATGGGGCCATTAACATTTTATTCCTCTCACACTGGTCCACAAGCTTGGTCACAAACTGCTGTGGGATGGCATCCCATTCCTCAACCAGCATTTATTGCAAGTCATCCAGTGGTTGTTTTAGTCACTTCGGCACACCCAACCTAATCCCAGTGATTAAGAGATATTGGAAATCCCCGGTTGCAGAATCACATCTCTGCATTAAAATGGCTTTCAGTGAGGATGAGTCTTGTTTTTATGTCAACTATGAACTTCCACCACACTGCAGAGGATTTGTAGGGTTTCAATAGAGCAACCCATATCCTCGATTCTGCTGCTCAACCCACAAATGCATTTTCCTCACAAACATGATTCTCTTTAAGGGGCAATAAATAAGATTCATTACCATAATACCACCTATTCTCGCTACAACAAACAGACCATAGGCCAAATCAGTGTTCTTTACGTTTTGTTTTAAGCTTAGTTTAAAACCAGTGAAGGTTTTGTAAAAAGTTCTTAATGAGTAATTACAAAACTTTACCAGTAAGTATGCAGTTGCCCTTATGGAGCTACATGTCAGTTCAAAGCCACATGGAAAATAACAGAATGAGATGGAAAACAACCTGCGTTTTTCTAGTGTTGTCGAAAACCCACACAGCTCGCTGTCATCGCCCAAATGGACAAGCACCATTTCAGTGTTTGCCTTTGCTTCCTTTGGGTGGAAAATGACAGCAGAAAAATGTCCATCTCCTTTCAGTCAGAACCCACCTCATCCCTCCGTCCCCGCTCTAGCTGCTGCATGCCTTTTGTGTCCCATGCATCCCTTCTAACCTTGCTTCTGCAGCTCACATAGGTTCCCTGCTTGCTGTTTGTGTGAAAGATAGGGGGGTGTGAAACTGTGTGTCTGGGTTTATGTTGATTAAGAAACTTTTCTCAATCTGATGTTGTCTCAGTTGAGTAGTCTTTCTGTATAGTCACGTGTAGTGATTGTGTGTACCTGACTGGGTTGCGTCTATACTTTGTCTGAAAATATGAGGAAAATCGTTTCTGTTTTTGACACTACTGAGAGAGTTTGACTATTGGATGTATTTTTCACAAAATAATCTTCAAAAATTGGTATAGGAGAGTCTTTTTTTTGATTTTTTGGTTTTTTACTGAGCTCTTTGCTACATCATGTCATACATCAGTGATTTGGTGCAATGGCTTAGGGCTATTTTGAGGGAATGATTGTCCTTAGTAGGATCTTTTTTCCCCTGTTGGTTGTGTAAGGTAGCCACCGTTTCCTCCTGAGTGCTGTGAGCTTTCCACTTTTTATTTTTTTTATTATATACTGGAGCTTGAGTTGTTGGGCACCAAGCACTGAAGCATAGAAGACTTCAGGGAATCTCCTAACTAAATTTAGCTCTCTGCAGCTGGAGGAATGAAAACAAAACATCACCCGGGTTAAAACAAATGAGTGGAAGGCCAGAGCAGCTGAGGAATTAACACACACGTGAGCCCCACTGTGTGACCTCTTTCTCTCGGCAGCACAGCTGTCTATGAAATACAGTTTACTGTCTAGCAATAGGGATGAAGGAACGACACTATGTATTTGTGTCAAAACAGGTAAGAAGATTGTATCATATTAATTGAGAAAAATTTAAGAAATCTTTTGTTTTTGCTTTTTCATAATTGTTTGGGTTAATATACCCTTAGAAATGTCAAATGTCACAATGCTAAATTCATACTTACTGCACTCCCCACAATTATTAACAAATAATATATGAAAAGTCTCAACGTGTTCATTTCCTTATTGCAGTATCATAATATCACTCTGAAAAAATGTTATATTCTGATTAATAGTTTTTGTTTAAATATATAACATCAAGCTTTTCACAAGTTTAAGTCACATTTGACACTATTCATCATTTCAAAATCTCTCCAGGTCCTTAGTCATTTTTAACCTTCCCTTCATTTCAGTTTACCACACATATTTTCTACAAATTTTCAACCTAAATCATTACAAAAGATTGATGATGTTTCAGATGAACCATTTGTATGTGGCCATATGTTTTTAAGTTACATAGCTTAAAGACCCATTGAGTGACGAATTAGATTTGTTTGCCAATGTCATACATTCTTTCAAAATGGATTAGTATTTGAGAAGCTTTTGGAACTGCTTTAGCGTCCATGGTATGTTTCCAAAGAAAAATAGGATCACAGCATCACATATCCTCCACTTATCTAAGATGGCATGAGGTTCTTTACAACATTTGTTGCTTATTTTATACCTAAACACCAGGAGCTACTTTTGTTTCCAATACAATAAATCGAAGCCCGTTGCTCCTGTACAGTTTAGCAAATTCCATTTATTTATATTTATGATGTTACTTGTCATTTAGTAGCTTTGGTGATTCTAAGTTGCTACTTTTTGCAGCAAGTCTCCAACAGTGAATATTTGAGCCTTTTTTTCTCTCTTCACTGTTCATCACTATATTGTATTACTATAATTGTAACCATGGACACATTCAAGGTGATGTGGGTGAGCCGTCACACCATCAGTTCCAGAAACTACACACAAAACAAGAAACCTTGTAGTAGCGCATGATGGATTAGTTCAACCCTGCTCAACCACACACAAGGGTAAAAAGCTTGTGGGGTTTAGTTGACCCTGTCTCTTATGACCGTGGGAGGATTAAACAAATATTTCTAACCCAGAAATGCTTCCATGCAGAAAAACTGTACCCAAAAGAAAGTTAATTATGCTTCAAAGCAAGGTTAATATTTAGCAGTGTCAATAATTGTGGAGTGTGCTGTAATAACATTCCTTAAGTGTAAAAGTTTAGGCATAAGGAGTAGGTAGTATGTGTCAGGACAGTGACACAGCTTCATATGCACTTACTGTCCACATGTATACAGAGATGTTGCACTTTTCAAGTGGTTATCAAAGCATTGCACTGACATCCACTCCGACTAACATCAAAGTCGCAGACACAGCAGCTCACCACTGAGATCAAGAATCATTTGCATTGTACCATTTGATACATGCTTCACTATGACAGTACGCTGTGTGTATGTGGAGAAACGCACCACACACACAAACAACAAGCACAGCACTGTACGGTCCTCTCCAAACTGCATGGCCCTCTCCCCCTCATGCATGCAGCTGCATGGTATCTAATAATTTTCTGCATCCTTTTATGAAGTGGTGTTATTTCCTAACACATTTTGATGAGTGTAAGCATCAGCGCTATTCTTTTGCACGATGTCAACGTCTTCTGTTAAAGCCATACACAGTATGACGTTTGGGCTTTTCTCTCCCATGGAATGAATGTTGTGGTTCCCGTCGCTGCCGTCTCTGGTATTGGTTGTCGCAAAAATGGCAGCTGACTTTCCTGACATGTTTTTATAGTGTTTGTGGAGGATTTGTTGTTTGGCAACTTAACTAGGTCATAATCCACCACTAGTCTTTGACAGGTTTGTCGGCTCACGCCAGTTGCCTGCGGTGAGCCACATAAATGCTGTCCTTAGGATATTTTTGATTTTTTATTCCACTATTCCATGTTAAGGATGCTTCTCTAGATCTCTAGCTAGCTGTCTGACTCTCCTTAAGATGTCAGGCCACACACTCTTTCTATAAGATTATTTTTCTCCCAACTGCAGCACCAGTTGGTGTCTCCATTGCAGGCACTTGGCTCTACTGTGAGAAAATGAATGTGAGCTGCCTTATGTTTGTCTCCCTTTAAATAGAAACCGTAAGCTCTTAGAAATAGTACCACACTTGTTCAGAAATTTAGCTGACTGCAGATCTTTGGAATACCAAATAGTTAGTTGCTTCCCTGCTCTATCTAGGTCCAGATCCTTCCTCTTTAGACTTTGCTCTGCCAGGTTGCTTCCTTTCTATGTGAAAGCTTTATGGCAGGAAAAGGTTAGAGAACCAATAAAAACAGGCTGAAAGGACTTGTAAAGAATATTTCTCTGACTTTGGGAAATAATCCTATAAAGTGTGTAACTAATAGGAGCAATTTTTATGTCTATCTTTCTTAAGTCTTACCCTATTTCCTGTAGGAGGCTAACAGATCTTCTGGAGTCAGCTCATGAAAGTGTCATAGAGATCGTCCGCGTGATGCCCTTTCCAATCTTCCTCCTCAAGAAAAAACAAAACTATTGTGCTCTTGTTAAATTTGAAACACTTTGCCTTTACTTCCAACTTCCTTCCTCTTTTCTTTCTTCTCTTCTCCTTTCTCCTCCATCCCTTCCATCCTTCCCTCACCCCACCCTCCCCTTCTCTAGCAGCCACCCCCACCAGAGGATGTGCCCCCGCGGCAAAAATCTGGTAACGTTCAGCAAAGGCTGCAAACACTGCGGATTGCCACACGCTTTTACTGTGCCATGAAACACGTAAGAGATGTAAGAGAACCAGGGCTCATATATCAGGCATGATCTATTAAACCAATTTTTTTGTCACTGTGATACGACATATCTATTTATTTTTGCAACTGGTTATTTTTTAATTTTTTGTATTCTCCGCACCAAGTCACTGTTATTTTAGGCCCATAATATGCACGTATTTCATTAATCTACAGTCGACCTTTTTTCCTCTGTTTTGCCAGACACTTTTGTTTTCACTCAGTTCCACCGACATTTATCTGAAACACCTGAGCGCCAGAAATAATTGAAGTTCGTTTTTTATTTTTCAAAATTTTTTATGTTGCTTAACAATCAAAACTAATTTGTTTTGATGTCATACAGTGAATGCTAATTTCTTCTTAACAGAGTAACAGAACTGTCCAAAAAGACAGTTTAGTGTTTAATATCTACCAGTGTTGTTCAGGTATGTCCAAGTTTTTTTTTTAAAATAGTTACCCAATTCTACCATCAAACCATTTTTAGTTTCACTGTATAAAATAATTTTAATATAAGAAAAAAGTGGCAAAAGCACAGGAGTTTTCTTTTCCTGTATAAAGCAAAAAGTGAAACGGTGCTTACCATCCCTACAGGCCCCACTGCCTTATGCTGAGCACTAGGCGCCTTAGGGTGGTGATAAATTTTATGTTTACTTCCAGTGAAGCAGTGTTTAGCTGCTGGGATATAATGTATATGATAAAACATTGACAGTCATGGTGAGAAAACTAAAGGAGCCCCACCGACTCAGTTTTAAAGACACAGTTGGTAAGCGAGGGGGGGGTGTCTGTAAAGCAGCGACCTGCAAGCTAGCCACCGGAGCACATAGCCCCGCTAATTATCCAACTAATGTCAGCTTGATGTTCTTTTTCTACTCTACAGCTGCATCAGAATCTAAGTACATAAATATAATAGCATATTGATATGGCAGCATTATAGTTATTTTTGTTTTATTTGAGATCACAGCCTCAAATAATAGTACAGTGATATTTTTAACACAAGTTTGTCTCAAAGGCCTACTGCCATTACAACTTTAATGGCCATTTACGTAATGAAAAAAGCTGTGTTCAGTCTAGAATCAGCGATCATTGTTATTGCTGTTACCAAAGTCATAAAAGAACAATGGATGACATTTTTCAAGGCTCTGGAAAGGCTTTGTAAGCCTTTTCTCTCTTTTTTTGATATTCACCTCTGTTTTACCGCTTTCTTCTTTATATCAGTGGCACACACGTAAGAGTCATACTTTTGCATTGCTTTTGCAGTCAGTATTGCAGCAAATCCATCAGCCTAGGTGCTGGATTCTCCAACTTCTGTTCTCTCTGGATTCAGCCTCATAGATACACTGTCACGTGTCATTTCATGTCACGCATAAAGTGTCCCAGTCCATCAAGTTGTTCATCCCATGTTTATTGTAATTTGGAGGTCTATGTCTGGATGTATATATGTGCTCCCAGTGTCCCTGTTTGTGAAATGGATCTGTCTGTATGTGTATGGATGTGTGTCAATGTTGTCCTGTCGGTGCACAGTCTAGTTGCTATGAAGTCATGTGTTGCTGCTCTTCTCCTGTTGCTGTAGAAACATTCTAGTAGCTAAACTGCAGCCGTTGCCCTGTTACCTCATTTCCTGCTCTTATTTTTCCTCAGTGACTCAAAAGTTGGCTCCCCATTCTTCCCTACCATAACAATGCTTCCCCCAACAGGCTGTGGGCAGTACTGCAGCACAGTTTAATAAAAGGATAATAAATCCTAGTCAGAGTGTCCTGTATTTTGCAAGTCGGCTGATATGTATAAATTAATCCTATAAATAGACTGACTTCATTGGATCAAATTGTTGTGGTATTTCCAACCATATTTTGTCTTGCGTCTTAGAAGAACCTTGCACAATTCGTCTGATCCGGTTGGTTTTCATATCAAAGCCACCTCTTTACACAGCTTTAAAGGGCATATTTTATACCAATTCTGGGTCATTAGCATCAAAACAAATCCTTATGGTAAATCTATTTCAATCAGTTATCCTTTTCAGTGGTAATTTATATGCTTTTATATTCAGAAAGCATACAAGTCCTAAGTGACAACTTTTGAAACCAGACCTTTAGTCAGTATTTTCAGTTTGGTCCACATCATGGCTTCCACAGCAGAGCCTTCTCATCTGGTCTCCCCATGATGGTCCCTGTCCCGCCTTCATCATCCTTGTGGGACAAATTGCCACATAGGACTTCATAATGAGAACTTGCATTTGAGCCGGAGACCTCACTATCATTTTCAGCTGTGCTCTTGTTTCTTTTTTGTTTTTTTTTCTGCTTTGTGTTTTACCTTTAAACGAAAGTTATCATTGGGATGCACAACACTGAACACAACTTGTAAAAAAACAATCAAGTAAATATGCCCTTTAAGCCCGCCTTTTCTTAGTGACGGAGCGTATGGATCTGCAAGTTGCATTTGAAGCACTGTTTAAGTATATGTGACATGAGTAAAAGTTAACCCATTTCCAAAGAAAATGTTTGAAAAGTGCAGATGATGCATCAAGATCTGTACTCTTCTGTGAGCATGCTGCATGCACTGTGTTAAACAGTAATATTATCTGATGTTTGACTGAATCTGAAAACAGTAATCAACCGATCACAAATTTGAAACTTTGCTATTGCACAGGGTATTTCAACATGCAAATCTCCTGTCAGAAGCATTGAGGCATTCAATGTTGACTGAGGATTGGGCCTTTTGAAATACCTTGAAATATGTTGGGCAAAACAAGTATAGCATCTAATGCATTTACATATTCTATGCTATTCAGATGTTTTTCAGTATCCAGAAAAAACTTATCTTGCTGGTACCGTTGCAACTTTTCCTCTTCTTTTTATTCCAAGAATAAATTTGTCTTTAGATTGTTGCCCAATATTTCTGAGTCTGTCTTGCAGTTTGAACTGTTTCTGTCTGGATGCTAATCTCTGGCACTAATGAACAGGCTAAGGAGCTGCCCACCTACAAGGACAATGACTTCATCAACGACGGGCAGAAGATTTACATCGATGGGGAGAACAAAAAAATGTTCCTGGAAAAGCTTAGGAAAGACGTGGAGGTATGGACACACGGGCGTCTCTGCTCATTATGTCTCCGCACTTTGTGTCTTCCATTGCTCAACCCTCTCGCCGTCGTCCTCAGTTCTTGGCCCAGTTGAAGCTCATGGATTACAGTCTGCTCGTGGGGATCCATGACGTCGAGCGAGCCGAGCAGGAGGAGGTGGAGACAGAGGACATTGAAGCGGAGGAGGAGGGCGAGAGTGACGGGGGGGTCATTGGGACACCCCCCGACAGTCCCAGCAACACCCTAGATAGTACCAAGCCGCTGTCACCTGGAGAGTTTGATCCCACCATTGACGTCTACGCCATCAAAAGCAACGACAGTGAGTGCCTGTCTAATTGGTTGCGTCAGTTTTATAACGCAACAGGGAGATGCTGTTAAATAGAACTGAGAGCTCCCTCTAGTGGCTGAAGATTGATTTCCACAAATCTGTAGTAAATGTCTGTTTCCTTTACCTGTTTCTACAGATGCATACATTGTCTTACATTGGTTTGCTTCAAACTGCAGGTGCTCCCAGAAAGGAGGTTTACTTTATGGCTGTTATCGACATCCTGCAGCATTATGATGCCAAAAAGAAAGCTGCTCATGCCGCCAAAACAGTCAAACATGGGGTAGGTGGATGATTGCATCTGGTAGATCTGGTAACCGGTAAAAAGTGTTGTGGTTGTAATGTGACAAAATATGAACAAGTTCTTTGCCATTTCTGAAGACATGTTATTTCCATCCTTTTTGTCCTTCCTTTCTTACATATGTACTTTTTTCTTGATTCTTCCACCTTTCATGTTCTTTCCTTCTTGCGATCTTCCTTGTTTCCCCCTCACACGTCCGTCCTTCCTTCCATTTTTTCTCGTGCCCTTATCCCCTACCTTGTCTTTTGTCCTTCCTCCTATCGTCCCTTCCCTTTTTGTCTCCTTCCTTCTCTCCTTTCTTCCTTGACTCCCTCCTTATAATTCTTCCACCTTGATGACATTTCTTCTTCTCTTATTGGTCGTTTCTCTCTTCATTCCTTTTTCTTCTTTCCTTGTTTGTGTCAGTCATTTCTTTCTTCTTTTCTTGTGTCCTTCATTTCGTCTTTGTTCATTTTCCCTCTGCTGGACGTAAGAAGAAAAAGATGCCGCTTAAGCAGCAGCTCAACTGTTTTTTGTTGAGCTAAACGTGAAATACGTTTGTGTTCCTCTCTCTAGGCAGGAGCAGAAATCTCTACCGTGAACCCAGAGCAATACTCCAAGAGATTTTATGAGTTCATCACCGCCATCCTGTCATAGCCCCCCAGAACGACAAGAGCACCAAGGCACATGGGAAAGAGAGGGAAGGTGGGAGGGAGTGCAGGATGGGGAAGGAGAGAGGAAAGCATGGACAGGGTGAGGGGGCGCTGGAGGCCGAATTAATAAGGTGTCCCTCTTCCCTCTGGTTATTTGTAGTTGGTTTCTCTCTTTCATTGGGGTGCCGTCTGTCTGCAGCTAAACAAAACATTGTTTGTTTACATTTAACCTCTCCTGTTGAATTCTGTTTTCACATGTAACTTTGGATGATGAGGTCGTTTTTAAGCAAGTGTCCAAAAGTCATTCAATTTGTCAGGCGTTCTTGTTTATAGTTATCGATGTCGGCCTGTAGTTTTGTTTTTAATAGTTATTAATAATATTATTAATAACCCCTCCCTTACTCCTCAAAAAAAAAAAATCCAGCACCGGCTTTTTTGTTGTTGTTGTTGTCCTTTTTCAATGTGATATTTGTTGTTTTCCTCATTGTTCAGTGGGAGGCTGAATTTCTAAAAGCCGCTCTGGCCGTGAATGTTGAGCCTCGCCTGATGCTTCGTTCCAGGGAGTAGAAAGCAGTCTTCCAAGAGGCCAACAACCAAACGTGCTCCCAAACAGCTGTTCACGCACCCAGCCAAACAAAGCTTCCTCACTCACCCCCACGTTTTTTTTTGTTTACATTATATAACTAGACTATATAATGCATGTTTACTCCCCACTCTGTCTGTGATTGTTTTTTTTTTTTTCCTTTGTGACATACCGTGATTTCTAATGCAAAAGGGAAGACTGAATCTCTACAAATGAGAGGTAAAAAAGATGTGTGCAGCTTCCTTTATTGTCCTCTGGAAATAGTTCACCATTGTTGTGGGAGATAGCAGTTTCTGTTCCTGCTGCCGAGAATTGCCCAGAAGTCATTAGTGACAGCTTTAAGAGCGAGTCACTGCTCAGTAGAGAAACAAACATGTATTTAAAGCAAAAAGGCCCCGTAATTTTTTATTTTTCACTTTGCCGACTGCACCTTATGAGTGAAACCCAAACTGTTGCACTTTCATTCTTCATCAGGATCTTTTATTCTGTTACACGCGCAGCAGAAAGACAAACTGAGCTCGCTCATCTCAGAACCGAAGCCTGATCTCGGATCCCGTCTTCCCCGACATCACCCGTCTGCCCGTCTTTTACTCGGGTTGGTTTGGAAGAATTTACTGCAATATTTAACGTGGATGTAGAGGGGTTAATTTTATATCTCTAAATCAACCTTTCTAATCCTGTTAGGGGCGCTCTGCGACGTCGCAGTAGTGCTGCACAAAAAGGCGGTTTACCTCTGACTTCGTATCAGTGTTCAAAAAATTGGGGAGGAAGGAGATCAGGAGTAGCCGCGGATTCATTTTTCCCCTAACAGCAACATTATCTAACCTCGTTTTTGACTGGTGTGTGTATGTGTTTTTCGTTTTGTTTTTCTTTGTCATTGTTCTCACTGTTTTTTATCTGTCTTTGTTTGTTTTTTTAATCATTGCTCTTTTTTTTAATTATTTTGTATATTTTGCACAAGAGGAAAGGAACCAAACGTTACAAATACGACCCCAATTAGTGGAAACGGTCTTAACAAGGGAAATGCAATATACTCGTGTAAGTTAGTGATTTGTGTGTGAGGTCGCGTTATCACCAACTGAAACAGGTCAACTCGTTCTTTCTGACTCATGCAAAAAGCTTCCAACGTCATGTTTGTTTAAGTGTCATAGATTATATTGACGTTTCTATTTTTTACATTAGATTTTAGTCTCTGAAAATAGAGGGGAAAAATGGAAAAACTCTGTGGAACAAGTAATGGTGCTGCAGTAATGAAGAATGACTCTGTTTGAATTTTTACAAGTTCTAATACTTTAAAAATAATTTTTAAAAAATGCATGTCACAGTTTCCTTTCCTCTCTTTACTCTGTCGTTCGGTCTGTTCTGTATGTGCCCCTCCACCTAAACCACGTTAAGTAGTCCCTTCTGTTGCATATTAAATAGCTGTTTTCATTGTATACACTGTGCAAGATGTGTGCCTTTATACTCCAAATTATTTAATTTTATATTTTGTAATCTTTTTTTTAAACAAGTGTAAAGGATTATTTTATTAACAGTGTGTTTACTTTGATGTTTTTTTTTTTTTTTGTGCGTGTGCAACCTTCCCTCCATTTGGCACCTGGTAGTATACTTGTCACTCAGTCCATGTAATAAAACCGTTTAATTGATCCTTTTCTAACCAACAAGGTTAAAAATGAAAAAAAAAATGAATAGTGAATATTTTAATTTTGTGGGTTTCTTTGAAATCTGTAAATGTAAATTGGTGTTTCCTTTCTGCTCAGGCTGAAAGAGATATCTCCTCACATTTTTATTATTTTTGTTTTACCCCACGTCGGTTCATGCTGGTCTTGCCTTTGTTAAAAGAGAGAGTGTGTGTGTGTGTGTGTGTGTGTGTGTGTGTGTGTGTGTGTGTGTGTGTGTGTGTGTGTGTGTGTGTGTGTGTGTGTGTGTGTGTGTGTGTGTGTGTGAGAGAGAGAGCATTGTGAAAGTGTGCGTTTTATCTCTTCTTCCACCAAACCCAGATGCAGTCATGGTAGATTTTTGTTTATTCATTCCACAGTGAGATGTTGGTGATCATCGTGCTCCATCTCTGTAAATGGTCTTTCACATGCAATAGAACAGTGTACATGTCACGCGCCGCTTTGTTCCGTTTTCTCCCCCAAAGACGCTGCTGCTGCTGAAGCTGCGAGTCGACCCGCTGCCACTGCTTCACACGCCAAAATCGCCTCTCAGCAGTCAGACCCCCAATCCCTGTGAGCTTCAGAACATTGTGTTTAGTAAAATGCGTGTTAGTTGGGATTAAATGTTTTGTTTGTTTTTTTCCCCATATTATTTCTTTTTCTTCTCTGTGGTAAATGGAGTGAGATGTGCAGTGCTCATATGTCTGTAACCGTATCCAGGGGCGGTAGGGGGCGGGGCATGAGGGAAACACATGTAAAACGGCTCCAGGGCCGGGCATCCTCTGCAGATGTGGGACAGTTTTATTAGGCTTTTAAGTTTTAAAAACTTACAAAGCTCTTTTGGTGGAAACTATTTTTCTTTTTCACAGCGCTCTAAATTGGCATGCACCACCTGACCCTGCAGAGCGTGCTCCGGTCTCAGCAGCCTCTGATGCTCTCTGACCCCGGGCGTTGCTTTAAGCATTATTTGTACGCGTCTGTGTGAGAGTATGCATGTCTGTGTTTTACAGTCTGCCGAGTGTTTCCTTTCAGTGGCAGACAGGACAAGATGAAATTGTGTTTATTGTTTATTCATACATGGTTACATAACAATTACACTCCATTCCATAAAGCAATCACTCCAAATAATTAAAGCACTTGTTCTGCCTAACTGATTCCTCTTTTTTTTTTTTACCTGTTATGTCTGAAGCTTTCAGTAAAATGGCGGTGGAAAAAAAATGAAGTGACCATAAAATTTAAAGAAAGTGAACAAAAAAAATAATTTTTTTTTCCCCCTCCAAGGCAGAGTCAGAAATGACTAACTCTTAGAGCTATATTGTGTCTGTTGAAGCTGATTCTTTAAACTTTAGACTCCTTTATTGTCCATTAAACTTACATAAAATGGACGTTTTGCTTTGGTAATGGCACAAAGACACGCAACACAAACATCAGTCAACACAAAAGGATTAAATTAAAAAATTCACTGAAACAACTTTTAACTGTTAGTAAAGTCACCAATCCTCAAAACTCTGTCATATTGTGAAGCAGGAAAAAATACAAAAGGTCAATATTTTTAATAGAAATAAATAAATAAGGGGCAAAGAAAAAAAAAAACATTCCAGTAAACGGGAACAAAAGTAGAATATCAAATTTCTTTTGACAAATAGATTAGACAAGTTTATAAATTTTCCTTTTTACATTCAAGATTTAAATTTATTGTACGATCCGCAAAATCATTCAGCTCAATATTTTGTTTGTAGACTTATTTAAATTGGCATGCCATGGATATCATGAATAATAATTTTTTAAAAAGTTACAATTTTGCACAAAAAAAAATAGTGACTCACTTTTTATTTTAAATTGTATATTTTCCTAAGTTATCCACTGCATTTTAATAAAGGTCATTTGGAAAATTAAAAGCGTTTATTAGAAAAAAAAGAACATGATCACATTGGAATCAACGAAGATAATTTGTTTGTTTGTTTGTTTTTTTCCATAGAGGTCATTTTCAAATAAAGGTGAAGCGAACATGCGCAGTCATTACTTAAAATCCTTAACTTCAAAAATTGTATAAAAATCCAAAAATCTTTTTAAAGCGCAAGACTAAAGGCTACGTGCATATAATCTACAAGTAAATTATGTTTTTTTCTTAAATTTTTGTAAAGACCGAAGTCGATGCCTTAAAGAAAAGCCTGAGATGTAAAAATTAAAGACATTTAATGGGTTCGACCTTAAGCATAGAATATATATTTGACAATTTATTATTCACGCATTATTCTCCTTGTTCGCGTCCCAAAGCTTTGCGAACGATCCGTGGCCACCATATGTTTGATCGACTCTTTTTTTTTCTTTGGCTACCAAAGCCTGTTAGTAATAAAATAGTCATTTATTTATTTTGTTGGAATCGCTTGTAGTTCCGCCCTTTCGGTTTAGATTTGAGCGTAATTAAAAATGGCTGAAACAAGAGCTTTATATGCCGACTATTAGTTATATATATATATATAGGCTATATATATATATTTTTTTATTTTATTTATTTATTTATTTATTTTGCCGTGAACGAACTATTGGCGTTTTCCTTCCCAGTGTGAATAAATAAAAAATAACGCGGTGGATAGAGAGGAGAGAGTCGCAGGAAGAGGTTCAGCCTGGAGTGTTCAACACGGAAAAGACAGAATTTAACAATCCAGCTCGATTATTGCTGAACGCTGCTGTCACTCGGTGTAGCTTCAGGTTGGAGGTATTCTGTTCTATTTGTAGAAACAGAACATTCGGGATGGTCGCTGCTGTCTACGGCTGATTTCCGCCGCAGCGCAGCGCAGTGCGGGGCGGTCCAGTCCAGTCCAGTCCAGTGCAGTGCAGTGCAGTGCTGTGGGTGGCTGTGGAAAACTGAGTACAATGTGGAGAAAAGGCAGACACCCCCGCAGACAATAAACAAAGAGCCGCTCGCCATGTGCGCCGCAGCTGCTTCGCGAGCACGCGAGCTGCAGTGAGCCGTCAGGGCCGCCAGGGGGCAGTGCGACCACTGAGGATGCCTTCTTTCAGTCAGGTAGGCTTGGTTATTCCTTTGTACGGCTGCTATTCTGAGTAATGTTTCTAAAGCTTTGAAACATAAAAACGAAGTGTTTATTTATAGCGCTTCTTTTGATAAAAAGCTCTTTGAGAAAAAGCACAGTGGTGCATTAAAAGAAGCTGAGTGTTGGCTTCTTTTAGTGTTATTAAAAGAAGCTAACATTCAACAACCAGCCACTGCGTCACTGACAGGGCTGGACTTTAGAAAAAGCTAACAGGGGCAGTAGCCCAGGGCTTTTTGGGAGGCCACAAAGGTTTTTTTATTCATTTGTTTTAATTACTGCCTGTTTTGAAAAAAATGGTTACTTTGCGAAAAACTCATTGGGTGAGTTGTATTAATAATTTCTTTTAATTGTATGAATCTAAACAATACTCAAAGTATTTCTAAAATTATAACGTTATAGTAAATTTCTTAAGAAGCAACATGGAGTTACTGGGTGGGGATGTAGTTAACCTGCCATGCATCATAACATACCTGCTGAAATACAGGACTACCCATTAATGTACTGTATTAATGGGTACATCAACTATAATGTACCCATTAACTGAGAATTTCTCCTGAGTGGACAGGGAACTAACACTGACTCCAACCCAGGGGCTAACATTCTTTTAAATCTGGCACTGGTCACTGAATCTGACCCTTTGACCTATATACTGTGGAAATATGAGTGTTCTCTTTTTATTGCATCTTAAATGTAAGCCTAGGCGTAAATTCAAGCTGGGAGACTCTGTTCAGCCTACCGGCATCATCAATTACCAAGCCTCCACCTGAGCCAACCTGCACCAGACTGTCACTCTGCTCCAGCCAATCACCACACAAGAGCTCCTTCAAAAGGCCAAACAACAACAAATCCACCCACTTCTGCTGCACTTCGACCCACCTCTTTCCCATCTCCACCCTCATCCTCCCAGGCATCTTCCATACTCCCTTCAGGCTCCTTCCTCTCCAGGCTCCACTCCACCACCAATGTCCGGGCCCGGGGGAAGACGACCCTGAGCTTCGCTCCGAGCTGATCTTCCAAGCTCACTGCGATTCTGACACGTCTTCTGCCGATGTCCGAGCGCCAAAGAACTTCAGGTCAATAACCTTTCAACTGCTGCTTTTCTCTATGTAAGTCTTAACAGATTGAAATGTTACTCTGTATTATTGCTAGCACCACCAAATAAATATTTTAATTAGACTACTTAGATTCGTAAGGCACAAAAATCTTCATTGTCCCTCAGGTGGAGGAGAAGGAGTTTGAAATGAATCTTCTGGCTGATATCCCTCTAACCGCTGCAACAGGATCTCAGAGTAGCCTGGTGAGTAGTACCTGCAAAAACACAAACGCATCATAAACCAACCGGGTAATATTGAGTTGAATATGCTGATTCCGATGGCAATGGGTTTTTTAACTGAGTCTAGTTTGGACCAAATGGGCACACTGGTGGTCGAGTTATCAGAGCTGCACCTGACTATCTCCTCAGGGAAGCAGTTGTTGATGGTGTTGATGTATTCCTGCAAAGTGGAGCCTGGGTCTGCCTCAATCTCTTGGAGCTTCTTCAGTCCACCGCTGGTCACAAACAAACGACGGGCCTTGCTGTCATTGGGAAGCACCTGTTAAGAACCAGAGGGATGGAGGTTTTATAAGTGCATGAGAGGCAAAGATTTTTGCCGGAGCGTTTGGAGATGTCCCCCCCACCTTGCTGAACTGGCAGACGACATATTTGAGGATGTTGCTGGGAGCGTCGTAGAGTAGCGGCTCCAGAGCCGAGATGAGGGTGCACTTCTGCAGGATGTTCTTCAGCGCCTTCTTACTCTGAAACATTCAACACATTTCCAACAGCAACATTCAGGCATTTTCAATGTTTTTCTTTTTATTAGGTGCATGAAAATATCTGGTTTTGACCGTAAATAAGGTCTTTAAATTTAGGCTTTTAAATTTAAAGGTCAATAACCTTTCAACTGCTGCTTTTCTCTATGTAAGTCTGAACAGATTGAAATGTTACTCTGTATTATTGCTAGCACCACCAAATAAATATTTTATTTGGTGGTGCTAGGGTTAGGGTCAATCTGGTGGTGCTAGGGTTAGGGTTAGGTCAATCAAAGGTCAGATTGCACTTTATTACAAAACTGTGCAGCTTGAACATCAACACTTTCAAGGACTTTCAGGCTCACTTAAAATTTTGAAAACAAAGCATTCTTAAGCACCTATACAAACCCTGTTAAATTTGAATTTACCCCGTTTATAACATGATGTGCCAAAAGAAACATGGAATATCTCATTACTTCATGTGTTTATTGGTGTCCAGAACAATTGTTGCACTTCCTACCTTGGCCTGCAGGTCCTCTGAGCTCCTGGCGTCCACGTAGAACGCCAGCAGCTTGGGCAGCAGGTTTGCTGCAGCCACAACCTTGGCATGCTCAGAGGTGTGACGACCTATCTGGTCTATTGCCCACACTGTGGCCGACTTGATGTGCTGCTCATGCTCCTCTGAGAGGCACAGGGCCAGCTGGGGCACCCCCTGCAGGACAGGAAGGCTCACATCAGGAAGTGTCCAGCGAACTAATGATTATGATCTCATAGAAAAATATCATTCTGCCGAGTTGCGTGGTGAGGCACCGTTAGCTTCTCAACCAAAAATTATTGACGTGCTAAAGAGGCGACAAACTGTTGTTAAGTGGTCACAAAAAATAAATTGAAGAGGACGATCCCACCTTAGAGCGAATGACGGCCATGGCGAGGGTTTCATTGTGAGCCGCCACGTATCCCAGCATCATGATGCCCGGGAGCCGCAGCGGTCCACGGGTGTCTCCCAGGTAGTCGATCATCATTGACAGCCCACCGTAGTTCACGATCAGCAGGGACATCTGCAAAAAAATACACAAACACCCACACACACACTTCATTCAGTGTGTCCATTTTCTTGGTGACCTCGAAACATGAGCAAGCTGTACCTCTGGCGTTTGTTTCGCCACCTCCCTCATCAAAGTTGCAACGTTCTTCCTGACGTAATCATCCGGATCTTTGAGGGAGACGAAGGCAGCGGGAAAGACCTCGGCATCGATCACCATCTCGGCCATCCTGACGGAGTGTTTGCTGATTTGGCTGAGGGCGG